ATACAGGGTTTCTATGTGTTGGAACTGACCGACAGCATTTAACAACAACAGCCCACTCGTGTTAAAACACAGGTGTGATTAGATTTAGAACCCACCCTACTCAGGTTATGAATCGGGCTGCGAACCGCAAGGTCAGAAGTTCGAAACTGCTAGCTGTTCCATTGGAGAAAGATGAGGCTTTCTGCTCCCGTAAAGATTTACAGTATGGAAACCCTTACAGGGTCACTATGAGTCGGAACCGACTCCACGGCACACCACCACCACCACTACCTACTCAGATATGACCTAATTAACAACACAAAAGAAAATCCTGTTTCCAAACAGGGTCACAGCCCCAGGTTCAGGAGTATTTCAGGTGACACATTTTAATCCCTAACACCAACGCTGGCCCTCTGTACCTTCATTGGGTGGCGTGGTCTCATCTGTTTGTGTAGCTGAAGTCTCTGAGTGTGGACCCATCCAAGGGGCACCTTATTTTTAGCTCCGCATACGTCACTGGACTCCTGGTGTGGTGCTGTAGGATCCGAACTGGACTGCGAGCCACAGGGTCGGCAGTTCAAACCCACCAGCTGCTCCTCAGAAACTTAATAGCATAAGCACTGCTGCCGCCATCTTTGAAGCTCTGGCGTTTCAGGAGAACAAGCCCCACCTGGTGTCAGGCCGTATCCCTACACTGGGTTATTCAGTTGTGGTGGGCATGGTCAGGCACTGGAAGCTCGTCCATGCTGCAGGGCAGCTTTTAGCATGGGGTGGTGGGAGGAGCTAGCAGCACGTGATTTCCCCTGTGTGTAAACTTGGCAGGGCTGTCAGAAACTTCCTCTTTATGCTAGTGGAGTAGAAAGAGCTGAACTTTAGATCGAATTTGATAGACCTGGCTGTGTGTCCACATCGCAGCCCTTGGCTCTCTAACCTTGGGCACCTGAGTCTCGCACGTCTCTTTCCCACTGTGCAGGGTGGGCGCCACAGTTCCCACTAGGGCTGTGATGATTAAAGATAGAGCAGTGGCCGGAGAGTTCTCCAAATCATGGTGATCTGACATGTGTCAGAGTAGAATTGTGCTGCATAGGATTTTCAATGGCTTATTATTATTATTTTCAGAATGAGATCACCAGGACTTTGTTCTGAGATGCCTCTGGGTAGATTTGAACTGACAATCTCTTGGGTTTCAGCCAACCACATTAACGGCTGTGATGTTCCCATTGTTGTCTAGTAAGTTATGACTCATAGAAACCCCATAGGACAGAGCGGAACTGCCCCATAAGGTTCCCATCTTTATGGTGGGTGCCCTGGTGGTACGGTGGTTACGTGCTCTGTGGTTTGTGCAAGGTTGGCTGTTGGAACCCACCATAAATATCTACAGCCTTGGAAGTCCTTGTCTTACATGGTTGTTATGAGTTGGAATTGACTCCAAGGCCATGGGTTTGGGCAGTTTTTATTTCATCGTTCCAAGAACAGACTTCCGTGTCTTTTTCCCTCAGATCAGCTGATGGGTTTGAACCGCTGACCTTTCTGGTGGGTTCGTTCTGTACACTGGAGAAAGAGGCTCACCCAGGTTTACACTGTTGAGAAACATTTCTTGCTGGGAGTGCTCAAGTTACCCTGAAACCCATTAAAGCCAAAAGGGTTGTCATAGGAACGCCTGGCTAGGCTCTTGGACCACATTCAGTGGTTCTTAAAGCTTTCTTAAGTGCTTTCCAGCAACCAGGGGAACCCCCTTCACCTCCAAGTAGGGCTGACTGCATCCTTAAAGGGAGGTAGGGCTTGGGGCAGCCCAGGCCTTTAGGGAGTTCCTGAGTGGACAAGAGAAAACAGCCCAAATTCCCCACTTGCTTAGGCGGGTATGGGGTCCACTTCTCTGTAATCAGGTCTTGGCCAAGGGGATCTCAGCTGGGTGGCCCTTTGGGGAGAGTATTAGTTTCCTTTGAAGTCCCTGGGGTGGCACAAAAGGTTTAAGTGTTCAACTACAAACGGAAATGCCTACTCAGAAGCACCTCAATAGAAAGTCCTGGCGGTCTGTTTCAAAGGTCGGGGCTCTGACAACCCTGGGGAGCACAGTTGTACTCGGCACACCTGGGGTCTCTGTGAGTCAGAACGACTCAGCAACATGGTGGATACGTTTTCTATTGCTGTGTAACAAATGTTCACAAAGGGGGTGACTTGAAGCCACAATTGTTTTAAGAATAAATTTCTCCAAGAGAAATGTACCCTCTGACAGTCCAGGAGGCTGAAAGTCAGAAATCATTGTGTCTACAGCGCCACACACTCCCTCTGAAAATTCTAGGGGAGATTCCTTCCTCAACTCTTCCAGCTTCTGGTGGTCTAGTTTTTCACCTCATCACTCCAGTCTTTGCCTCCATCATCACATGGCTGCATTCTCTGTCTCTGTGTGCCCTCTCCTCTTTTCTTAGGACCTGTCCTAACAGTGGTGTCACAGAGGTGTATGGTGACACCCCTGGAGGCTGGAACCAGGTGTGGAGGGAGATGGCCCTACTTAACTAGGGGTTTCTGGATCCTTGACTTCAATATGGGAGATGATTTTGGTTCATCTTCCTGCCTATTTGTTGTTGTTAAGAGACTTTGAGTCGATTCCAACCCATAGTGACCCTGTGTAGGGTTTCAGAGAAGCAGCTGGTGAGCTTGAACTGTTAACCTTGCATTTCAAAGCAACTTTGCAGTCCAGTGCATTAACCCACAGCGCCACACCAGGATGCCTGCCTATAGGCTCTCCTCAGTCGTCCTAAGTTGTATAGGAAAAGCCCATTTCAAAGCTTTTAATTAGAAGTGTTCACCATTTCAGTTCCTCTTGGTTGTAGCTGTAGCTGCGGCTGCTTGTGGGGAGATGAAAAGCAGTTTGTTTGCCTTTTAAAACTTGAAATTTAGTTAATGCATTACTAAAGCCTCCGATTTACTCTTTTTTATGACAGTTGTATTGAGATCTGATGCACATACCACACGATTCAAAGTATTTAAAGTACACTATTCAAAGGAGCTCTGGTAGCGTAGTGGTTACGAATCGGGCTGTGAACCGCAAGGTCAGCAGTTCGAAACTACCAGCTGTTTCGCGGGAGAAAGATGAGGCTTTCTACTCCCGTAAAGATTTACAGCCTCGGAAACCCTGTTCAAGGTCGCTATGGGTCGGATCCGACTCGATGGCACTTAACAACAACAACAATTCACTGGGTTTTAGTATATTCACAGACTTGTACAGCCATCCCACGATCAATTTTAGAGAATTGTCATCACCCTAAAAAGAAGCCCCATGTTCATCAGCAGGTACTCCTCACTTCCCCCTCAAGCCCTCCCAGAATTACGATTTGATCTTGAGTAAGTTATTCTGAGCTTTGGCAAATATAGAAGAGTTTTATTTGTATTTTATTGGTGAAATAGGGTCTTAAGCAGAATGCTGGCTTGTTTTGTTGTTTTGTTTTAGGTCTGACCTTTATTTTATTCACAAAGCTTCTCAAAGTCAAGGGGAGACTGCGCAGGAAGCCACAAGTTGCTCATTTAAGCTCACTTTATCTAGAGGGCTGTAGAGTGGCCTGGCATCTGGGTGTGCTCACCTGGGCGGGGCTCAAAGCAGAGACAGGGTGGGGACAGCCCCCTGGGCTTTGCAGGTATTGGAAGCTTTTCAGGCTTCTGGAGTGCAGAGTGTGTCAGGGCCAGGGAGGGAGGCAGGCTCTTGGGACACACAGCTGAGTTGCATTTAGAGGTTACAGCTTGGAGCAACTGATAGCCCTGAATCCCAGGTTCCAAGTCCTTGGGACAACTGAGCTCACACAGACTCTATCCCCTGAGTCTGTGGTTGGGATCCATCTGCCAGGGACCTCCCTTCAGCCTTGCTGCCTGTCATGGGGACTGTAGGCAAGTATTGTGACTTCTTAGTTGTCAGCATGATATGGTGGCTCGGAGCATAGCTGCTGGGGCCAGGCTTTCTGGATTGAACCTCCACCCTGCCACCTTTTAACTCCATGGCACGCCTTGGCCCATCACGTCCTTACTCTGGGCCTCAGGGTCCACAGCTGAAATGGTGATGAGGACAATGCCTGTGAGCTGTTAGATCAACACCGAATGATGTCCTTTCTGAAAACCCCAAGTGCAGCCCAGGCCTGGGGTGCAACTGCAAGACCTGGCTTCTTTGGTGTGTTCTGGCAAATGCACATCAAACGGTGCCGCTGGGGTATGAGTGGGATGGCCAAGTTCTGTCTTCTGCCAGCAGTACTACCTGGGGAAATCACTGAGATTGAGACCCTCTACTCTGAGTGGTGTAAACATTTAGCATGCTCAGGTGTTAACCGAAAGGCTGGAGGTTTGAGTTTACTTAGAAATGCATTGGAGGAAAAGACCTGGCAATCTACTTCTGAAAAATCTGCTACTGAAAACTCTTAATGGAGCACAGTTCTACTCTGATACTCACAGGATCACCATGAATCAGAAGTCAGCTTGACGGCAGCTTGTCTTACCCTTCAGTTTCGCTGTCTGTAAAATGGGACCATGGTCAGAGGGTTATTGTTGAAATTCCAGTGAATTAGTATTTCCAGAAGGCTAAAGAGCTTTGGTAGCGTAGTGGTTACGAATCGGGCTGCAAACCTCAAGGTCAGCGGTTCGAAACTACCAGTTGTTCCGCGAGAGAGAGATGAGGCTTTCTGCTCCTGCAAAGATTTACAGCCTCGGAAACCCTGTAACAGGGTTGCTATGAGTCTGAACTGACTCCACCGCACACCAGCTGGCTCAGGAGGAACCCAGGTGGTATAGTGGGAGGGGGAACAATGAAACTTTGACTCTCGTAAAGATTTATAGCCTCAGAAATCCTATACAGAGTCACTATGAGTTGGTACCGACTTGATGCCATCTAACAAAAAGAACTACCTGGCTCAGAGTCGTTTCTCATGCCAACTCTTAATATTGCTGCTGTGATTGGCATTGTCTGTTACAGAACCATCCAGTATATGGAGCGTCACTGCACTAATCTGATGTTCTCTCTCTCTCTCTCCATTGACCAGCTGAGCCGCTACCACTCATGGATCTCTGCCGCCGCTCGGTGCGCCTGGCCCTGGGTAAGGAGCGGCTCGGAGAGATTCACACGCTGCCACTCCCCGCTGCGCTCAGGGCCTACCTCCTGTACCAATGACAAGCCACCCACGACCTCCATTTAACAGACACCTGGTGCCACCTCACTGAGCCGCCCACCGAGGGGTTCCCTGCCCCGGGTCCTGGGACCGGCATCTTCGGTCATGGTCAGAAGACCGCGCTGTTCCCATCTGCCCCTTCCCAACTGCCTCTGCCGGACACAGACAGATCCTGACCGTCTCCTCCGTCCCCCTACCTAACATTGGCAGAAGGCAGCCACCCCGCATGCCATATACACCTCTCCTTCCCTCTTTAAAAAAGATAGAATAAACTTCTATAGTCCTACATTGAACTCCGATCTGCTCTCAGGGTGGGATGGGGAGCATCCCCCTGCTCTCAGCACCTTCTGGGAGGGAGGCGGGGAGAGGGGAGTGGGAAGTGCCATAGCACCCAACAATCCCCAGGAAAGCTAGAGAGGAGCTTCAGCAAAGGGCTGCCGGTGCTTAGCCAAGCAGGGGCCTGGCTGCAGCCAGTGAACCTTAGGACAAAGCAATCCACCCTGGATATGGAGACAGAAATCTGAATTGGACCTCATGAAGGCAAGTAGTCAGCACCAGTCCCAGGTATAGGTGCCCCCAGTACCCTGTATTTATTCTTTTAACAAGGACAAAAGCCATTTATTTATTCCATTTAGAAAAGACACCTTGTTTCTGTCTCCTCCGGAATGCTTGGTTGCTTTCCTCCCACCTGCCCCCTCCCTGGGATGTGTGTGCCTCACTTTCTTTCTCCGTGGGCTCTATGTCTGGGCCATGTGTGCACACCAGCGTAGGCACAGGGTGTCTTCGTCTGGGTTTCCTGACTGATAGTGTCAAAAGACTCTGCCCAGGTTCCCAAGTGGGTTCCACGTGCAATACCAGGATCTTTAGGAACCTGCCTCCCAGGTAGCCACACATCTTCTTCACTTGTGGCTTTACTCTTAAGCCTCCTGTGGGTGCTTTGGTTGTGCTTTTCTAGCTGAAATTGCCCAAGTGCATCCTCAGGGCCTCTGGCCTCCCTCCCCAGAGGACCAGCAAAACCAAGAAGGACGACAAATTAGTGGTTCTCCATGCCCAAGAACCCAGGCTGCGGCAAAATGGAGTCAACCATGAGCAGAGTCCAGCCGCTTCCTCATAGAGCCAGCCCCGGTGCCTGCTCAGAGGCTGGCCTGGCTCTGGGGCTGTCATGGAGCAGGCTCCTGGCCAGCTCAGCAGGTGGGGGGCTGCCTTCCCACAGCCCCCTGTGTAGCAGACCGGCCCTTTGTGTCCATTTCTCTCAGAAGATAGCTTTCTCGGACTCTGACGCCGGTTCATTTCTGTACAGGTACAATAGGCGACTTTATCTGTTTAAAATGTTTAATATATACACACATATATATTTGTCTGAAAGAGTTATGTTTTAAATAGCTGCTATAAGGTACCTTTTATAACAACAACAAAAAAGAATCTTTCAGTGGAATATATTTTTCAAAGCACAAAATTGGTGCCAAGAGTGGGTGAAAATGTCAATCATCCCTTATTATTATTAGTTTTTTTCCCCCTCGGGATGGGAAATCTTACCTGTAAGAGTTTTGAAAGATTTTTCTGGCTCCTGTGCAGGGTGGGTCATGTTCTGACCCGTGCTGCATATGAGAGGATTTAACTTGTACAACAACCAGTTTATGGCCTTGAACCAGTCAGCCACCTCCCAGGGGCCTGGGTGAATGGCAGCTCTTTGCCATCTGAGAGTTTCCCACCCCCCAGCTCCCCAGCACCCCCAAGCCTCTTCTTTCCTGTCAGCCCCGAGTCTTGTGGCTTGTACAATTCCCAAACTCCCATTCTATTTTATGGTCATTGATAATCATCAGTAACCTAATAAAGAATGTTTATCAAAACACAAAACCACATTTGGCTCCCTCCTTTGTACCCTGGGGTGGAGGGGCAAAGGGCTTTGATTTACCCCTTGTTTTGGATTTGAATTGTGTCCCCCTCAAAATGTATTGTAATCCTAACCACTGTGGATGGAAGGAACTCCATTTGGGAATATTTTCTTTGTTATGTTCATGAAGCCGTATCAGTGTAGGTTGTTTTAAGCTAATTATTTTGGAGACAAAAGGAGCAGATTAGGCCCAGAAGCAAGGAATCACAGATGGGGGAAGAAAGCTGCCACCCCACGTGGAGATTGCCACAGAGCTGAGGAACAAGCTGAAAGAGACAAGGTCCTTCCTGAGATCCTGCAGAGAGCAAAAGCTGCCTCCTAGAGATTGTGTCCTGAACTTGGACTTCTAGCCTCCTAAACTCTGAGAAAATATATTTCTGGTTGTCAAAGTCACCCACCTGAAATACCACAGGTGGTGGATGCCAGCAGGACCCCTACTCAGTTTCTTAGTGCACAATGATTACCTGAATAGCTTGGCTGCTACCTGAAAGGTTGACGGTTCAAACCCATCCAGCGACTCCTCAGGACAAAGGCGTAGCAGTCTGTTCCTGTAAAGATTGTGGTGTGTCACTGAGTTGATTCCAACACATAGCGACCCGATAGGACAGTAGAACTGCCCACAGGGTTTCCTAGGCTGTCATCTGTATGGGAGCAGACTTTCCAATCTGTTTCCTGTGCTATAAAGATTGTTGTATGCTGTTGAGTTGGTTTCAACTGAGAGTGGCTAGTGGGTTTGAACAGTTGACCTTGTGGTTACCAGTCTAGTGCTTATCCTCCTACAGAGTCACACCAGGACTCACTGTAAAGATTGTTGTTGTTAAGTGCCGTTGAGTTGTTGTTAAGTGCCGACGAGCAGCTGGTATGTTCGGACCATCGACCTTGCGGTTCAAACCGACTTTGCAGTCCAGTGTTTATCAACTGCAGCACCACACTAGACTTCTAGAAGACAGTCTAGGAAATCCCATGAGACAGTTCTAGTCTGTCACGTGGGCTCATTGTTATGAATTGGAATAGACGCCACAGAACGTAACAACACCTAACCACAGTAAGAACAATACAAGACACCCCTCCTGGGCCTAGTGGGGCCCACTGCTCACAGGTTTCAACAGATGATGAGGTGGCCCCATCACCTCTTGACAGAGGGTAGACACCAGTCAGAGCCCCAGATGGGGGACTCTTGAAGCGATGATCCTAGAGCTCCCCCCTCCCTTTTTTAGAGGTAAATACATACCCAACACCCCAAAGGGAGCCTGCAGAACCTACTGGAAAGTGATTGATTCTACATCCTCATGATGTAGGTCTAGCTCCTCATTGATTCTACATCCTCATGATGTAGAATAATAGCTCCTTAATAGAGTTGTCAAACTAGAGTTGACGATGGACATTTGGGAAGCAGAGGATGAACCAGCTCCTACCAACAAGTCCCCGGAGCACCAACAGTCTTCATTGTCCGTGCTCTGGGGACTTGTTGGTAGGAGCTAATCTGTTGTCGATATTTGAGTCCCTGGTGCTGAAAGCACAATGATGATCTATAAGCTTCTGCCTACATGGATCCTCCTACCAGCCACTGTGGGCAGACCCACCCCTAGAACAGGAAATTCTGGGCCAGTTGGAGGTCTTTATCTCCAGATAAAGAGAAACTAGAAATTTACCAGATGTGATCACATGTCAATTACTGGTTCCCCCCCACCTGTAAATTGACCAGAGTGTGGGGGATTTTTAATTCTAAAGATAGTACTTGGATTCATAATCAACACCCATGGAAGCAAGTCAGAAATCAAATGACATATTGCATTGAGCAGATCTGCAAAAGACCTCTTTAAAGTGCTGAAGAGCAAAGATGTCACTTTGAGGACTAAGGTGTGCCTGATCCAAGCCGGAGTATTCTCAATTACCTCATATGCCCATGAAAGCTGGAAATGAATAAGGAAAATTGGAGAAGAATTGATGCACTTGAATTATGGTGTTGGTGAAGAATATAGAATACACCATAGACGGCCAGAAAATGAACAAATCTGTCTTGGAAGAAGTGCAGCCAGAATGCTCCTTAGAAGCGAGATTAGTGGGACTGGTCTCATGTACCCTGGACATGTTATCAGAAGGGACCGTGAGAAGGCTATCATGCTTGGTAAAGTAGAGAGATGGTCGCAAAAAAGAGGAAGACAGTGTGATGGACTGGCACAGTGGACTGCAGCAGTGGTCTCAAACATAACTATTGTGAGGAAGATGCAGGACCAGACAATGTTTCATTCTGTTGGTCACTTAGGAATTGGAACTGACTCGACAGCACCTAACAACAAAGATATGTGGAAAATGCCTGGTCTGAGGATCCAAGACCACTAGGATCAAGTCCCATGTCCCTGGCTCCCAGAGCCTCCTAACCAGCTTTTCCCTAGGCCACCTGTCTCGATATCACTTAGGGGTGTTTGACAAAATGCAACTTCCAGGGCCCTGCTCAAGATGTATCGAATAAACATTTCTGAGGTAGGACCCAGAAATCTGCATTTTTCCAAACCTCCTTGTAAAGGTGGCTTAGTCTAAGAGAATTTGAAGACCACTGATTTTGCCTGTTAACTCTTCCTAATGCAAAGTTGCTTGGCAAAGGGAAATTATTTCAGTGTTGGTAGGTCGACCTAGGGCCAAAACTCCTGAATTTCCTATAAAACCAGCCTAGAGACTGAGTCTGACTTCCTCAGACTTCACAAGGGGAAGGAGAATCAAACTCAAAATCAGACCAAAGCTGATTCCTATGAAACAAAGGTCAGACATGCTTCCATTCTGTGTTCAGTAATCCCACAACCATCCCTCCTCCCATAGCACTCTGCTTCACATCTGTGTTCAATAATCTGTTGCAATGACCACACAGAACCCACTGACAAAACTCAAAATTCTGGGATTTATTAAGGAAGTGAACAGGGTACAATTCAGGATCAGAACCAACTCAGGATGAAGCAGTTCTCCCGGCAGGAATGCATCATCTCTGCCAGACCGCAGACTTCAGACACACGCTCTTGTCCTCGGTCTCTCAGCCATGTTGCCCCTCAGCTTCACTCGGTGAGGTGAGCTGGGAAGCCCACTACTGCTCGGTCTCTCCATGCCACTGCTTCT